TCCAAGAAAATGACTTGAATCTTAAATATTCACTTACATATTTTTTTTCGTGAAATCTGTCTGTACGTGTAACTAACACAAAACTTGATAATTTTTTTTCCTAAAATGGGTTGGAATACGCATGAATTAACTCTAACACTGATTTCAGCATTACACTTTAGACACTCGTAGTTTTATTAATCACAAAAAAAATACGTTTGTATTTAATGATATAACGGAAAAATTAATTGAAAAATTAAAAGAAGAAATGACTCACTTTTATTTATTTTTTGTTTATTAAAATTAATTAATGATTCTAAAATATGTTTAATCGAGTTTAATGATGAACTAATTTTTATCCAAGTTGAATAAAATACTTCATTATTAGAAATTTGTTCTGGATTATCATTTGTAAAATCAAGTTGACATAAAGCTGTAAATTCTTTTTTTATTTTTAATAACTGTTCAGATGAATCATCACCACATTGTACAAGACTTCCGAATTGTTCAATTAATTTTGAAAATGAATATCTGGTTGACAATTGATTAAGAATTAATTCCATTTAGGGGTGTCAACTTTGCATTCCGTTCCCGTTCCTGGGAACGGAGAACGCTACCCCGTTCCTCAGCGTTCCGTTCCTAGAAACTGGAACGCAACATACGTTTCTTTCACTTTTAACAGAAATTTTACTAATTCACCGAAGGAAAGCCAATTTCATAAAAATTAGGGATGTCAACGTGCCCCGTTCCTCAGCATTCCGTTCCTAGGAACGGGGAACGCTGAACACTCAAACATAAAAAGAAAAGTGAATATGTCTAGAGGCCTCGCCATGTTGAAATATAGCGTGAAAATGCGATTTTGACAAGCGTTCCCGTTCCTAGGAACGGAATGCTGAGGAACGGGGAACGCTGACACCCCTAAATTCCATTGATAATTCATTTTCTTCAGTACCATACAATAATTTCGACCATACTTCGGGTGATGTATTAAATCCTTTAATACAAAAAAATATTTATTAAATATAAGTTGAACAAAAAAAAAAGATCTTTACCAAATACTATAGCACTTCGAATAAATTGTACATCATAAGCATTGAGAAGACTTTCATAATTTTGAAAGTTTTGTTCAAGTTGTATTAATAAACGGTGGTGAAGTCCTCGTACCTATTATAAAAACAAAAATTTCTAATAATCATTTCCTGTTTTTTGTTATTATTGTATATTTGCTCGTTGAAAACAGAATGCATCCGATAGTAATTGAACAATTTGTTGAACATTTTTTTCCTTGTATGTACTTCTTACTTCTGACACAGAAATGACAATTTCTTCAAGTGATAATGCTGAACGATATTCGAAAAACAATAAAATTGAGCGCAATACATTTTCATGCATAGCTTAATTAATAAACAATTATTAAGATAAAATATATAATTAGGAAAAGTCCAACCTGATTCAAGAAATTCATCATCTGGTAAACCAATAGTTGAACGAAAATCAGCTATTACTTGTCGAAAACTTTTATGATGAAGAATAAAATCAATACATATACGTTCACCAAGACGATGTATTGCTTTCAGAACTTTTAAACGACCTTCATGATCAATATATTGACAATTTAATAAGTGAAATATATTTCGTATCATTGAACGATTAAATATTGGTTGACATTGTTTATCATTAACTATAAAATAATCATATAAAAAAAATGACATGAGCTTTTTTTTCTTACTTATTGGTTTAATCACAAATGATATGTCACAAAGAAGTTTTTCTATATGATAAAAATTTAATTTTGTGCCATTATCAAGTTTCATATACAATGGACATTCACCGTAACGTTCTTCATTATCTTTAGGTAACTATATTTAAATAAAAGGGAAAAAAAGTAAAAGTTTTTTTTAATATTTAATAATTAATTTAAATATTTACTTTTGATGGATCACAAAGAATAAGTAATAATGGATAATTTGTTATTAATTGATCACTTGTTGTATGTTTTATTTCATTTGAAATTTGATTTGGTGGACAATTTGTTTCATTACGTATTATATCAAAACATTGTCTACATATTGTACGACAACATATAGGTAATGTTATTGGATGATATAACGAATTTTCAAATTCAAAATAATGTAAACATTTAGCACAACGTAAAAATTCCACATAATATTGTTCAATTGATTGATCTGATTGAGATATTTCTATATCTAAAAATAAATAAATAAACAAAATAGTTGTTTTCGTTTCTTTTTATAAATAAATAAGTCATATTTACTAGTTTCGATATTCCTATCACTGACCCATTAACTAACTGAGTAAACAGACAGCTATCAGAGAGAAAAGAAGAGGATGACGGCAGACGTATGTGTCTGTTTACTTTTTCTCTCTCTCACTCTCTCCCCTATTTCTTCTACTTCATGTATATGTCATGATGGTTCTAGTATGCGTAACGCAAAAAAGAGAAGTAACAAAATACATGTACTCGTTCGAAAACAAACAGTGGTATTGTTTTTCTCTTTTTTTTTCTTTACTAATGTAGAGAAAGAAATGGAGTTGGTTTCTTCCATTGATTGCATCGGACGAGTGATAGTAAAAAAAATATTTTTTTAAGATCAAAAATATCAATTTTAATAGAAAATAAATTACACTTGATTTTGAATTTTTTATTTTTCCAAGATAAATCCATAATGGCTCTTTTATGCTTGACCAATTAAAATAAAATAAAAACGGACAAAAAAGTGTCGATAAGAAATACATATTGTTTAAATATAACATAATAATTGTCACCACTGCCGAAATTTTCTGTTAATAGTATTCGATCAGTCATGAATACAACAAGATGATTTACATGATCAACATCAGATATTAAAAGGGTGTGGGTGTGGGTGTGGGTGTGGGTGTGGGTGTGGGTGTGGGTGTGGGTGTGGGTGTGGGTGTGGGTGTATTTCATTCATACCTGTCCACGTATCCACACTCATACCCCACATCCCACACCCACCAACACCCCACACTCATACCCACCCACACCCACACCCACACCCTTATTGTTATATTGTAACATGTCGATTCAAGATATTACGAATAATCAATTGTAAGTTTTATCTTTACAAAAAGACTTCTCTACATCATATATGCTTGTGCTTATTAATTTTCTTTCAGGCAAAACAGAGTGAGAATTGTTTTTATAAATTAAGCATGCTTTCACTTTGTTAAAAAAATGTTCAGAGTAATCGGGAGTGAATGTATAGAAGAAGTCAGTAGATTTACGTATATTAGCTATAACTTTGTTATTTTTCAGTTTTTTGAAAAACTTTTTTCATAAGACATCTAGCTGAATCACTTCTCTGTCCATTGGTGAATTTTATTTTTCAATATCTTGTGATTTCATCTATCCACAAGATTTTGAGAAATAAAATTCATTAATCGATAGAGGAGAGATTCAGCTAGAGGTCTCGTGCCGAAAACTTTTCAAAGAAATGAAAAATAAGAATGTTCTAGTTAATATACATGAATCTACTGACTTCTTATCTACATTCACTTCAGGTTACTCAATGAACTTTGGTATATTTTTTCTCATCAATTGCCGGATATTTTTCCTCTCCTGAATTGTCGAATATTTTTCTTTCATAACCATTCCTATACATTAAACAATGTCCGTCTATCGAGATATTTTTCTTTCTTTCTTTCACAAGTATATAAACGTTCAGTATGTGCGAACTATCTTCTAGAGTGAAAAAAATCTGAGAAAAAAAAACACCAGGAAGTTACTCAACGTTTTCAACAACTGTTACGATTGTACAGTTTTTATATTGATTTAGTTTTATTAATATTTATAATTTTCATTAGAGATTTAGTCAAAATATTTCGATTTAAAAATAAACTAAATAGCATATTCGGAATCACTGCAAAAAAAGAAATTCGCTAATTAAAATAATTTTCAGTGAAAAAGACTTATGAAAAATTCATTTGTACTTCCTTAGAAAAAATTTCAAGAGGTAGTACAGAAGAAGTTTTTACATAAAAAATCTTTTTTTCATAAAAATTATTTTCGTTACTACAGTTTTTGCATTGATTTCGAATATGCTATTTAGTTTATTTTTAAATCGGAATATTTTGACTAAATTCCTAATGAAAAATAATAAATATTTCTGAAAATCATATAAATCAGCATAAAAACTATTCAATTGCAACCGTTGTTGAAAAAAGTTAAATAACCTGATTTTTTCATATAATTTTAAAGTAGAAGATAAAGGTTTTTTACGGACTTTCGGTTGATGCAGTATAATTTCTGAGATTCCCTCATTTTTTTCACCAAAAAGATAAATCTTTGAAAAAAAATGCTTTATTTTTGCATGAAAAATTACTTTATTTGTTTTGTTTTTCAACAGAATTATATTTATAGATTGCATGAGCATGCGTGAATATACCAATTAACTGCTCTTGCATGATGTCATATGTTGTTTTTTTTTTATTTTTATTTTTTCAATATTTTTTTGTTGTTAGATTGAAGCTTACAGAAGTGAAATTAAACGTATGGACAAATCAATTGAAGAATGTCGAGAGCTGTTGAAGGAGAAGAAGTTAAACGATGAACAAATAAAACAGTTGACTACAGATGTTGGTACACATTTTTTAACACAATTCTATCTCGATGAACTCTTAGATGGTGAGTATTATATCATATTTATATAAATATTTGCAATTCATCCTTTTTAGAAGCACAACGTCGGCTTCGTACACAACAACAACAACAATAAATAATGAAAAATATTGACTTCGTTTTTTTTTCCATATATTGTCTTGGTCAAGATTTTGTTATACTTTTTTCTTATTTTGTTATCATTCATTACTTACATTAATTGATCCACTTATGATTAACTTTTTTTTTTTTTGTAATTGTTATCGTTATATTTCGTTATCTTGTTATCATTTTGTTACGTTCATTAGTTGATCCACTTGTCGATGAAGCTTTTCTTTAAATAAAGTTGTTATTATCATTCTCATTATTTTAGAAATCTATGAGATTTTTTTTTTATTCTCAATATGTTTAGTTATGTATCTAATTTTAGGGCTTTAAAAATATGAGTTTTATTTAAAAAAATGGAGAATAAAATCTGAGCTTAGTTTATTGCTTATTATTAATCGATTGAATGATTCTTTCACAAAGATTTTAATATATATTCGACTTGTAAAATTTTCGTGTGAATGTATAGTTCTATGAGTAGCTAAACATAAATACTGAAAAAATTTTCTTTTTTGACAGATTTTGTAGAGGTTTTTCGCTGATCATTTTGATATAAGAAGGTTTTGGTCTTCATTAAGAAATGATGATATTACAGTGAATATACTAAACATAGTAAAATAATTTAAAATTACATTTTTCCTGAGAAAAGATCGGAAAAAGTCGATTCATGGATCTAAAAATGATATTTTTCTGGAGAAGCATGACATAGAAGATTTTGTAGAGGGCAGTTACTCTAGAAATCGCTATAGCTAGCTTTTCAAATACTGGAAGAATATTGAATAAATCTGAATGGAACATTGTATAGGCTTTTTATGATGTAAAATAAGATTTTTGATAGAAATATTGTATTAAAATTTATTCAATATTCTTTCAGTGTGTTGGAGAGATCAACTACAGAGATTTATAGAGGAAATTTTCCTCTACAAAATCTATTGTCATATTTCTCTGGAATGTGTAGCCATTTTGAGTTTGGTGAATAGACTTTTTCTGATCTTTTGTCAGGAAAAATGAGATTCTAAACCATTTTATTATGTTCAGTATGTTGATTATAGCATTATCATTTTTTAATGAAATTCACAACTTGTTTATACGAAAATGATCAGCGGTAAAAGCTCTAGAAAGTCTGGTATAAAAGAAGTTTTCTGAATATTTTGTGTATTATTTTGTTTGACTATTTATGAAACTACTGAAATAAATTTGAAGAGTTTCTTTAAATATGGTGAATAATGATGATGATTAATTGGGAGGTGTCTGTATTTAGCACTAACGAGGGAACTTCCCCAGGTGTTTAAGAGAGCACCCATGAGCCCATCGAGCATCGTGCTAGATATCGAAGCACTCGTCAAAAATTTTTTTTTGATTTAATATTCTCATTTTGTTTAGCATCATCGAAAACCTCTAAATCCAAATTTTTAGCGCATTTGGTTGAGCTGGTGAAAAGTTAGCTCAATTTTACTGTCGAGCGCTCACAATGATATTTGAAAAATATCATCAAAAATCGTTCATATAAAGTGAAGTTTTTTTCGATGA